TCCCCCCCGCCCGGGGCCTCCGCGGCTTTGTTCAGCGTCTCCCTGGTCTACTGGGGGCGGGGGGCCTCCCTCCCCCCAGCAGACCAGGGAGATGCAGAGCAGCTTTTCTCGCCCTGGAGGACGCGGGCGGCGTGACCGCCACCTGTGTCCTCCGGGGCGAGAAAAGCCCTGTTCGTAAGTACGGATCCGACATAAGTCGGATCCGCGTAACTCGGGGACTGCCTGTACTAACAATCCAAACTTTTGATCATTTGAAAACACAAACAAAAGACTGCTGCTGAAACAGAGCTTTCTTCTTCCATATGAATGTCCCAATCCTGCAATGAACATTGCATGCTGAGCTGATTGTGGGATTAGGCCCCAACTGCAGAACGCACCCCTAAATCTGCTCGCTCGTGTGTTAATCCCATCGGATGGGATCTGCTTTCCAAGTTCTCTCCTTCCAAAGTGCTCTGTTCAATGCTATATCCTTCATCACAGCCTAAAGGAAGACACACCGGCATGTCCAGAGCTCCCTATACTTCTTGGGTCTGCCTTTTTCCCTCCTTTATCTTGATTTGTTGGACTCTTACGCACATCGTTGTCAGGACTGTGCTTTATATAGCACAACTCAACCTGTACTCCCTCAGTTTTTTAAATCTATCAATGTTACTGTGAGCATGCCTCTGGCATAATGCATTCTTCACATGGCGTTGTTGCTTGAACCTCTCTTCTATTTCAATATCTGCATTTCTGTGGACCAGAGTTGTTGATCAACGTTCAAGTGCCATACATTCAAGATGGATGAACCACTGGTTTATAGGCTTCCCTTCTTGTTTTACTGGTAACATCCTGTCGATTTGTTATTCTAGCTCTGATTAGTCCTCATTTCCTCCAGCTCTGCACTGGCCTGCAACAACCCAGAAGTTTATCAGCCCAGTTATTTCTTTTATTCATAGATATAGGCTGCGTCTAGATTGGCATGATTTTCTAGAAATGCTTTTAATGGAAAAGTTTTCCATTAAAAGCATTTGCGGAACAGAGTGTCTAGATTGGCATGGACGCTTTTCCGTAAAAGCACTTTTTGCAGAAAAGTGTCCATACCAATCTAGACGCGCTTTTCCGCAAAAAAGCCCCGATCGCCATTTTTCGCGATCGGAGCTTTTTTGCGGAAAACAAATCTGAGCTGTCTACACTGGCTCTTTTGCGCAAAAGGACTTTTGCCTGAATGGGAGCAGAATAGTATTTCTGCAAAATGCACTGATTTCTTACAGTAGGAAGTCAGTGCTTTTGCGGAAATTCAAGCGGCCAGTGTAGACAGCTGGCAAGTTTTTCTGGAAAAGCGGCTGATTTTCCAGAAAAACTGGCCAGTCTAGACCCAGCCATAGATTGTTCTTATAGAAGATGGCTTAAAAACAATTCCATCACTTAACTGAGCTTCATAAATCATTCTTGCGCATAAATATACCTGTAGCTTTTGAGTAGACATGCAGTTTGTGTTCTACAGATCATGCCAAGAATTTAAGTGTAATTGTTTATGTAACCTTTGTAAAGTTTTTAAGATTGAGTTTTGTAAATTAAAATGCAAATATTTATAAACATGATGGAAGAAATAAAATGTTTGACATTAAACTGTTCATGTAAGCTATCATACATATTTTGAACACTTGATAGTCTTTAAGGTGCTACTATGCTATAAGTTTTTCCTAGTATTTTAGTAAAAAACTAACAGAACACGTAGCTGGTATTATGAGTTTTTTGTGGGTATAACCCACTTCTCTGGTATTACGAGTTTTTTGTGGGTATAACCCACTTCTTTAGATGACGAGTGAAGGAAGTCCAGATCCAGGAATAAGGAAGGGAAAGGGGTGGGGGAATTTATTCTTGGATCTGGACTTCCTACACTCTACTCACCTGAAGACGTGCACTGTGCCCACAAGCTCATACCACCACCTACATTGTTTTAGTCTTTAAGGTGCTACTAGACTATTGTTTTTTAAGTTTTTCCTGTTACATACTAACTTAGCTACCCCTCTGAAGCTTTTAAAATATTTGGGTATGTCTTAATATTGCCTCACTGCTGCTCACTTGATTCCTGGATGTACTTCTAATTAGTGGTACTGTACGAATGAAGTGAGGATTTGACCTGCTATGTAGATTTACACTACTTTAAGTAACTTTTTATAAAAAGTAATGTGATTGGTTTCCAGCATAAAAATCTTCCTGAAATTTCAGTATTGCTTAGTTACTGCAGTGTCTTCCTATTTAACTTCCTTAACTTTAAAGGTTTAAAAAAAAAAAAAAATCGGGGAGGGAAAGAATGGTTAATATACTACCAATTCGTGCCTTAGTGTGTGTGTAGGAAAATACAGTACCCTGGAACCCCTTTAAGCTGGCAACCCTGGGGAATGGAGTTTACCAGATTAAAGATTTTGCTGGGTCGAAGACATGAGGGTGAAAGGGGTGGGGTGCTTACCTAGTGATGAGAAAAAGCTTCCAGCAGAGCATGTTGCTGTGCTGTCATTCCCCTAGCTAGGAAAGGCAGCATGCAGTTCATCTTCCCTTGCCAGGGTCTGTACCAGTTCCCAAATTAGGGAGACAGTATGGAGATTATAGAACATTTGCCATCTCTCAGTAAAAATGCTGCCCTCTATATTAAAAGCCCATGGGATAATACATCTTAATTTTTACTTGGCCCTATCACTGAGTGAGAGTGATGACTTCTTGCAGTCCCTTTCTGCCATCCATTTCTGATTTGTCCCCCTCCCCCGTAGGTGACTTACCTTAAAGTTATTTTGCCTGTGTGTAACCTGATGGCTAGGTATTTGGCCATGAGACTTTTTTCTTCTCCCTTTTACTAATCATTTTACCAACTAAAACTATGGTTTATAGCCATCTGCAATTGCATGCAGCTAGGTGACCTTTCTACCTCATCTTAGCTGGTTTAACTGCATGAGTTGCGCTTGCTGAAAGGTTTATCATGGAGGCAGTGGTATAGCTTTCCTCAGCTGACCTTAGCAGGGCAGAGCCAATACTAGGCCCATAAGCTTAACTATAAATATGGACTTTATCACAGTGCACTTCCAGATTGAAGTTGGGAATATAGCTACATCCTGAGCCTCATCCAGTTGTTAGTGTTCTTGTTTCAGTAGGTCTGCAGGTACTTTAAAGCTGTAGTGAGAACAAGAGGTGAAATTTTTCCACAGTTCTTGTCCAACTCCTGTCTAGCATGTTTCAGCTATGGCAAAGAGTTGATACTACAATACACTAGTGAGAGCATGTAAATTAAGTTACTCCTACTACCCCTTATACAAAACAGTGTAAGACTATGTCTACTTTGGCAGGATTTTGCACAAAACCTTGCTGCCTGTCTGCACTGGCCACGAGTACTTGCGCAAGAACACTAACATTCTAATGTATAAAATCAGTGCTTCTTGTGCAAATACTCTGATGCTCACGCTCAGGGATAAGCCCTCTTGCACAAGTGGCCAGTGTAGACAGGCAACATCAATTTCTTGTACAAGAAAGCCTGATGTTTAAAATTGCCATTGGAGCTTTCTTGCGCCAGAGAGCGTCTACACTGGCCCAGATGCTCTTGTGCAAAAGCACATCTTTTGCACAAAGGCACATGCCACTGTAGACGCTCTTATTAAAATACTCTTGCGCAAAATCTTGCCCATGTAGATGTAGCCTGTGTTTTGAGGGAAATCTCCAGGAAAAAGACAACCAGCAGCACATCAAATAATGATTTAACTTTAGCTCAGCAGTTCTTAGAATCAGATGGTAGTGACTCACTGCTTCAACAAGTTTCATGAAGAAGTGCTTTAGTAGTTTTCTTGAGCTACAACTCCACACTTCAGAAGCAAAAACTTGCAGTGAAGCAGGAGACCCACAACTTCAGCTATTTTATACATAAGCACTTCTTTTCAGTGGGTCTTTCACTGCATGTGCAACAGTTAAAGCTAGGATTTTGTATACTTTTTTAAAAAGCACATTTGACTAAATGGCAATGAGATTGACAACTTGTAAAATTCATTCAGTGCAAGTTCAGTTTCAAGGGACAGGTTATGGAGTCATGTTTAGTTCAGTAAAAGTTCACTTCAATCTAGAACAGTGTTTTTTAGCCAGTGCTACAAGTAGTCTTAGGGGTACTCGAGACAAGGGGGAGGGGGAAGGTACATCAGCTACTGAAATTGAGAAAACTGAAGTTTTACAGTTTTTTTTGTACTTTACACCCAAATGTTTGTCTGCCTTTTCACCAGCACTTAAGGTTTTACTAATATGGACCACCTCATCACAACAACACACTGATTTAGTTGGGGTTTATCATAGGGCCAGGGAGGTGGGGAAAGTATTAATACTGAGTGTGTAGTCAGTGAACTTTAAGTTCTATTATTCTCAGCTGTTGTGTTCCTCTTAAGCTAATTTGACACACTTCCTAGCAAAATAGACTCCATTCTATTGTCTCCCACAATAAGACATTTATTACAAACACATTACTAGCAAAAACAGGTGACAAACTTTCAATAACCAAAAATCACATTTGACAAATTAGAGGGAGGTATTTGAGAACAAGCATTTAAAATTTGGAAGAGCATGGTGGCTGCAAATTATGAAATACCTTTTTCTTCATTATACATCAGGTATGTTAGTATCTTCAAACAATATGGTTCCAAACATCTTACATGTCACAAATGCACGAAAACATTACCAAGATGTGGTCGGGTTGACAGCCTGCATCTATTCAAGATGTGGTAATCTATTTCAGTAATAAAGCTTAGTCAGACTCAGATAAATGAGACCATTAAAATAGGACTTAAAATGCCTTTTAATGTTCTGACATGTTTTGGGTATTAAGTATACTGCATAACTAGTACTCCACCCTGTTTTGTGTCCTGTCAATATGGATTAGTATTGTTTGAAGGTAGTCGAACTAGACAAATTGGTTTGTAAACAGATTTTGATCACTAAGTGTGAAACTTGTGCTAATATTTTATTAGCACAAGGATCAGCAGATTGAGTAAAGTTGTCCATTTTATGGCTATAGATCAGACACTAATTAACCTAAGCAATTGTACATCGAAGATAAAGAAATGACATGAAAAACAAGGAAGCAAAATTTGTAACTTTTAGCCTCTATACTTATACCTGTTGTGGGATTTTTAATAGTATATTTGAAAGCCAATTTGAATAGGCTATAATGAAAACCAAACTAGTCTACTTTTCTATCATTCCTTTTAACAAGTGTATCTTTAAGTTTCAATTATACCATGTTTACAGAGAAGTTACAGTACAACCACCTTTAATAAACCAACAGTACATTTTAAACCAAATGCATTCTTGAATATGCAATACATCCTTAGGAGTAGGAGTAGCTAGTATAAAAAGTATCAACATCAGTGGTTTGAATATAAAAATTTATTTAAAGTCAGAGTATGCAACAAATAAAACCTACAGAAAAAACAGATTTTCCCATCACAATCTGTTGCTTACCAAATAATATTGTGAAAACACATTCCTTCAGTCATTATAAAGTTCTTAAAATACAAAAGAAATTAAATTTGTAAGAAAGTCTAGTAGACCAGATACTGTTTCTTCCAGGATATTTTGTAGAAGCAAGGTCATTCTTCAATACATTCCACGCCATCCACCTCCACCCATACTGCCTTGCCCATAGTATCCACCACTATTTCCACTTCCACGGCCTGCAAAACAAATGGATTAAAATCATGTACTCAGTTTCAGAAGTAATCCTCAATTTGGTCCACTAAGACCTGCTTAGTCAGATGACAGGACACTCTATTAAACTGAAAAGCGAGCAAAATGTTAGTTCCCCACTACTACTTGTGTGAAAGTAATTGCTACAGTTGCCACAATTGACTCATTCACAAATTGGAGGAAAGCTGGCCCATAAAGAGAGAGTCTCCAAGTTAAAAAAAATTCCAAGTTTTAAAAATGTTTAATATAAAACTTCAAATTGGCATTTTAAAGTGGTAGAAAAACTTTCAAAAGAACTCATAGCTAATTCACTTAAACCATTACTCACCATATCCACCTAAGCCATCAGGAGTACCATATCCTCCACTGTAATTGCTACCCATTCCCATTCTGCCAACAGAGCCATAACCTCCTTGATCTGGAAGGTAAAACATGCAAGGTTATAATAAGTTAAAGTTTATTTGTTAGTGAACTAGAATTTGAAGCTGGGCATACCCATTCCATCTCTGCCATAGCCTCCCATTCCGGAGCCGCCTCCAGCAGTTGAATTCAGAAACAGTTCAATGTATCGATGTTCTTTAAGAAATAAAAAAGAAGAACTGTGCTTTATTTTTAGTCAGATTAAAAACCAGATCAAATGGAAGAAGAGAATGACTCATAACTAATGAGAGAAAACAGTTTAATGGAAAAGTTACTATGGCTGCTCCATGGCTAATGGAGATGAGTTGTTAGATTAGTTAGCAGTGGGTAACATGATTCACATTCAGACTACTGCCACAATTTGAATTCTTACTGCAAGTCTCAAAAAGACTAGAACTTAACTGAATGGCCACTGAAGTTGCTTGTCCTACATGTGACCATCCCATGCCAGAGCTGAGATGTGTGGCATCCACAGCCCTGCTAGTACATGCTCTGTGGGTGAACAGGTTTCAGACTTTGTTATTTTTCCACAAGCATTAAATTTGAAATCAAACCATGAAAGAAAGACCGGAAAATGAAGTCACTACAATGCAGCCTAGGTGCAAGGTCAGATATTTAAATACAATTTAAAGATGGGGAGTCTAAAGGCAAGAGCCTTTCTCCCCTCACTACTGCCACTACACCTAAGGCTAGGGGGCATTAGTTGCATTGATAGCACCTTAAGAACTACTGCTCCTTCCTACTGCCAATAAAAACATTGAGAGAGAGCAGAAAAGTGGAAGGAAGAAGTGAAAGTGACAGCATGCTCTGAGTTTGTAGTACATATGTTTATAACGTCCAATGACACAGCTCTCATGTAGTATACATGCAAGAGACCTAGTAAGCTAATTAGGGCTGGCCACTGAATGGTTTAAATTCATGTACCAGTAATACTTACGCATGTTATTTTTATCTTTAGACATGGCAGCTACTGCATCTTCATGTGTTACAAACTCCACGTCTGCTTCTCCTGTTGCTCTTCCATCTGCTCCAATGTCAATGTGAACTCTTATAGGATTCAGTGGCGAGAAAAACTAAACAAATAAATTAAACAATCCTCATTCAAGAATATGAAAATAGTGTTCAAGCATTATATTAAACAACTTTAGTAACAGTATTTAAATTATTGTAAGTGACAGGTTTAAAATTAAAGTGAGACTGGAACAATTTAGCAATTGGCTCTATCCAATGTTTGTGTTTCTGGAATATGAACATATTAATTCTCCTTCAGACATGACTGCATTTTCCATACTATAGTAAAATTTATCCAAAGACCTAACTTTTACAAACAACACTCAGCCATCTTACAGGCAGAATCTGAAGTATTACCCCATTTGTCACACTGATAGACTAGGTATGGAAAGATAAATGATTTGTTAAAAGAGTAAACAGAACCAAAATCAGAACTCTGGACTCATGGATCTTCTCACATGAAATTTTTTTCTCATGATGGATATAAATTAGTATAATACTTAGAAGTTATTATAAAAAAAGTCAATGAAACAAATCTGACAAAGCTAAGAACACTTGAATGTGTCAACCGGTAGAATATAGGGATGTTAGAAATAGTTTATTTTAGTAATCCTGTAACGGCAACAATTCTTAGTGGTTATACAGTTACAAAAATGTATGAGACGCAGCAGTGTGGTGGCACCCTCCAGTGGTTATACATTTTTGTAACTGTATAAGACGCAGCAGTGTGGTGGCACCCTCCCACCCCGACCCAAGTTCCTTGTGGACAGAGGCTACTCCAGCATCCCATGGAGTAGCCTCTTGTCTGCAGCGTTCTGGGCTTGTGGCTCCGTGGCAGCAGCTGGTCAGTGCTGGGCTCCTGGGCCCCGCCCAGACAGAGGCTGCTACCAGCTCCCTGGCAGCTCCCTGCCATATGCTCTTCATTTAGAACTCAGACTGGCAGACTGGTCCTGAACCAGCCTGCCAATCCAAGTTTAAAATGCAGAGCATGCAGGAGAGGAGGAGCTTCAATTAGATAATGCTTTCCTAGTTAAAAAGTGAGTAGCATGCTGGTAACAGTATATTAAAATTCTAATCTGCAAATGTTTAAGCATGTATTTGGAGAACTAAAACCAAAAAGAGATACGTGAATAAGGTGCATAGCTAAGAAATTGATAAATATGGTACCCCAAATCATGGTTGGCTGTGTCTGATATAGGCAAAAAAGTACAGAATGAATAAATAAATTAAGGTGTTTTGGATCACTTGTACTCCCACCACAGCAATATCACCAATCCATGGGTTCAGTAATAATTTTAGGTTCCCACTCAAGCATGCTACTAATTCTATGTAAGTTTTTTTTCCCCCTGGTACAGAGCAAAATCAGCTTGGCTATTTGAGTTTAGGGGAGGAGAAATACGCATACCTCAGACGTTTGCCGTGATGCAATGATCAGTCATTTGGAATAAGACTGCATACTTAAATATATATATTTTATATTCCAAATTAATTGGTGATTAGGCACAATACCAGAATTACTCTGGAACTTCTATACAAACAAAGCTTATGGATGATGGCTACTTCTGGCCTTAATTTGCCAGACCAACATCCCTAGCTAAAACTCAAAAAAATACTCTGCATTATCTAAAACACAGGCTAGTAATCCCACTTAGATATGAAATGACAAAGCATTTATCTCAATTTGAGAGAGCTGATGTTGGGTAACAAAACCAGTCTGAAGAGAAACCAATGTAGTGGTAACACCCAAGTGAAGTAAATTGTAAATATAGTTTTCATTTAGGTTTGGGAAATTTTAGTAACTACCCACTTACTGATATCTGATTTACAAACCAGCAACACATCACAACCTCCACCCAGACCTGTTCAATTTCAATTCCTTCTGTCTTTTTTTTGGTAGTGTGCTAGTAACAGTCCTGTAACTGAGAAATTATGAGTGCTCCTAGTTAAACTTATCAAGAATACTTTCTGCAACTAAATCTCAGGAGGATTGGAATCATATGGCTAAGCCATAAACCTGATTCTCCCCAAACTGAGTGAAAAACAACAACTGCGTGCAATTAGATAGCATTTCATAAGCATTTAAAAGATTTAAGCACCCAGACTTCTAATCAAAGTTGGGCACCCATCTAATACTTTAGACTCACAATTTAAGACTGGGATTTTCTGGTTTTGCATTGCTGCAGATAGAAGCAGTTGTTGCCGCTTCAAGGAAAACTATAATAGCTCCTATGAGACTAATTGCTGACTCAAAAAAAGATAGAAAACTATTGATATCTATGCCAGATATAGCTAGCAACATGAATTTACAACACAATACTTACATTAGCAATATCATTTTCTGTAGCTCGAAAAGGCAGCCCTCTCATATGAACAAAGTGACCACCATGGAAACCTGAACTTGCATCTCCAGCTCCACCATAGCCATGTCCTCCCATACCTGTTAAAATAATACACTTGAGAACCTCATGAAAGGCTGAGATTCAATTAGTATTGGTTGCTATTTTGAAAGTATGCACATCTTACAAGTGCCACTCTTGACTGGGACAAAGTACACCCATACCCCAACACTGGTAACAAACACTTTAACCCCAACACTCAATAGCCACTCTTGCGTATTCTCCTCCATATGAGGGAGAACCACTTCTTAGTATTCTTAGGGCATACCCTCTTTCAATAGCTTAATGTACAAAATTTGTAATTCTTGATTTTACCTCTCCCATCTCTCATTCTGTCATCATAGCCATCATTTCCATAGCCATAGTTATTATAGCCACCATAATCATCAAAGCCACCATATCCTATACAATTTAAAAAGAAAAGTGTGTAAGTATACTATGATTATAAAAAAATCTTGTTACATATAACATTTTTGTAACCTTTGGCAACTCACATTACCTGCTGCTGATCGGATCTCTCAGCATCAACTATAAATAAGATTCCTGCATCAATTTTAAAACGTAATTCCCTGATGTGTTCTTATACCATTTCTTTACCTTTAAGAAGTATCACCATTTTCAACAAGTCCCATTTGGTAATGACACCACACAGCATCATTTCAAAAAAGCCTCCAAACCTAGCAGGTACCAAAGTAACTGCACTTTCTTGCAATGTCAGAAACATGAAGCAACTGACAACAGAACCTTTGTTCATTAGATACACATACCACCGTCATATCCACCACCTCCTCGACGCATTCTGTCATACATACTTCCACGCCCAGCTCCATAATAACCCCCTCTTCCTCCTAATGGTCTATCATATGGTCCAGGTCGTTGTTGTCCCATCATTCTTCTCGGTGGGTCATAGAATCCTCTGATTTCACTCTTGCTACTTTTGAAGATTTCGATATACCTAAGTAAGAGAGGATTTTCAAGGTACAAATAAGAATACATGCATAAGCTGTTTGAAAGTTACAACAGGCTGTACAAATTTATTTAAATGTCATAACTAGATGCAAAATCCAATAAAATGACTAGAGACCATACAACTTAAGTTTCACCTAAAGCCTTAATACTCTTAAGTGTATCAAAAGAAAAAATTTACGATGGTAAAAATTTACTACTTGAAAATTCTAACTGTAAAAATTAAATAAAGTCTCTGAAACTTGTCCCCCCCAATATGAAATACATTTGAAAAATGACTGACTAGTAAATTTATCACAGAATACCCTACACAAAAAGACAAAAATCTGATTTTAGCAAACTACATATTATTACTATCTTCCCCCACCCCCCAAATCTATTGTATATTCCAAGTTAACTTAGGATCATAATTATAAATTCTTTAAAATAGCCAGTTAAAAGATTATGGTCCCCACCCCCCAAAAAACATTACTGACCCACAACCCCCAAAAATAAAGATTTAACACCATCCCAAACTCTCCATCCCCACCTGTGCCCTATTCTTTCCTTGTGTTTCCCCAGAGCATTTTCTGCTATCTCCTTTGAAGCAAACTGCACGAAGGCCTCCCCTGTGCTTCTCCCCTGGTAGTCCAGCGTCAATGTTATCCCATTTGGCACGATTTCCAACCCTTTAACCCAAGGACAAATAACCCCATCAAGGGGAACAGTGTTAAAGGCTGAAACATTCCCATCTGTAGCAAATACTTAAAGCAAATCTAAACAACAACAAAAATTGCTTAGCTTCCCCCATCACCCAACACCACAAGCCAATGATTCTTATTAAAAATTAATGGTTTAGCCATATTTGTTTAGTTCTTTTTGTTTAAGCTATACAAGAATAAATCTACCTATGAAATATGAAGATATAACTACTAAATATTTAACTGTGCTCTAAATTCTAACAAAATTATTTCAATATGCATCATACATTTACTACCTTGACTAAGATAGACGTATTCTAGTCTATACTGAATCTAAAACTTATTTGTACTTTAACAGAACAGCATAATTCAGTTTGTGAAAACAATCTAAGCATAAAACAAGAACTCCCCCTCCCACCCAAAAAAAGTGGGCTTTAAAAATTAAACTAAGTGGAACACTCATATGATACAAATCTAAAACCAAAGTCACTGTACTTTGACTATACTAGAGATACCTTGAAAGAACTGAACAATCTCCTCTTTGCTGCAACCAAATGGCAGTCCACGAAGTCGTACTGTTCCATCACTAGATGTATCATTTGGACCATTGTGTTTTCCAGACCAGTCCATCTTGATACTTAAATCAACACACTATGAAAAATGAGAAAGATAATGTTTTAGAATCATACTGTACTGCGACCCCTCCCCTCAGCCAAAACCCAGCTCCACACACATTTAATTTTACCTTAGTTACAAACTAGTAAGAATCAGAAGTATTACTACTTTCTGGAGTTGCATCATAATATGCAAGATTCTTCCAGAAGGGTATCAAATATGGCATAGGCTACTCTACGGCAAGAGATTTAGTTTAACACATATCAAACAAAACTGAATACACAATCCCTCTAGAGTCTGACAATCTAATCTCTTTCATAGGCAGATGCATCTCCATTTGCCTTGCTTAAAGGGGGTTGGGATTCTACCAAAAAACCAAACCCCCTTAATTATTGATAAATCAAGTATTGTGCCATTTTAAACTTGATCTGCTATATGGGCCTTATTTGAAAGCATAAGAATAACTTTAGTAGAGATCTATAGAATGTTTTAAGTTAAAAACCTGGAAAGTCAATTAAAAGGAATATAGAAAACAAGGACAAACTGAGAGACAGAAGTAGGCACAGAACAGGAATAAAAGTTCAAGCTGCGTTGTAACTTGGGTCTCGGTAATGGCATTTAATATTAGAGTCAAATTTGACAAAACGAGATTTCTACTCTTCTTAGGTAAGTGATAAAAACTGTTGCATAAATTAAGCACGAACACACGATGTTTAGTTTTAAAGCAAATGCAGGATACCTGCCAACAAAAGACGATTCTTTTATTACTATAATAACTACTAATATTAGCACTTACATAAGTCAATTTTGTCTTCCAAGCGCAGTGTATCTGTTAATGGATTAATTCCCACAACACCCTTGTGAGGCAGAAAATATTATCCCGACAGTTTAGGGAGCAGATTGCAGTTACCCGGGGAAAGGGGGGCGACTAATCCACTCTGAATGGGCGGGAGGCTGAGTCAGATCGCGCCTCGGATCACACTAATCCCATGGGGGCGCGGAGGCTGCACACGCGGCGGGGGAAAAGTCTCACAATAGGCCGCTAACATGGGCACTGTCATGACAATGGCGAATATTATCCCGACAGTTTAGGGAGCAGATTGCAGTTACCCGGGGAAAGGGGGGCGACTAATCCACTCTGAATGGGCGGGAGGCTGAGTCAGATCGCGCCTCGGATCACACTAATCCCATGGGGGCGCGGAGGCTGCACACGCGGCGGGGGAAAAGTCTCACAATAGGCCGCTAACATGGGCACTGTCATGACAATGGCGAGGACCTGCGCGCGTTACTACGGCGGCGCCGCCTCTTCAATAAGGCGGAG